GAACATTTTTCTTGTACTGTTTCTTCTTGTTGTGAGACTGTTGGATATGGGGGAGACCTGATGTGTGGGGAGGAGGGTTCAGGGGCAGAAGAGCTCCATGAGCTGAGGTGAACCAAGACAGCAGTTCATTAGTGTGAAAAGGTAAGATCTTGTCCCCATCTCCCATCTTCCCCCCGCTCCAGGTCCATAGTTTACCACCTTCCTTGGGTCAGCTTGGGCTCTCACAGGAACCCTCCAGGAGCTTGTTTAGCTCCCTGGGAAGGCAAAGAGGCTCAGATGTCTACCGCACTCCAGACTTAGGTCAGAGAAATGATTTGCCATGATGTTAAGCTGAGGAGCAATTACAAAACAATAAGGCTAGAAAAGGACATAATCTATCCTGGAAACTAGTATTGTCCTGCTAAATACAAGGACTCCGGCATTTTCTAGCAAATGGAGAATACCATAGAAAGGGACATAAGCGGAGTTTAAGCAGGGTGGACTGGACTTTAGTATCTCTGCGTTAAATAGATGAAGAATAAATAGATGCCTTCTAAGGTGAACCTCAGCATTTCCTTCCTTACACCATTTCTTGGCAAATGTCAGCTACACAAAGAACAAGTTGCTCCTCCTCGTGGGTGTGGAGAGTAGGAATTCCAAAAGGATGGGGCCATTTTTCATAGTTTTAACCTTAAAATACCAAATCACGGTACTTAGCACTCGCTACAGTTTTTTGTGCTTTCTGTTGTTAAAAAGCTAGTTTTTTTCTTGTGAGAAAAGCCTGCCAACAGAAACCACTAATGAACTAAGAAGGTGGTGGTCCACCAATGTGTGCAGATGATCTGAAAGATGCTCCAAAGGACAGTAAGTTTCCTGTTAACTCTCAGCAACATATTTGAAGAATACTCACATACATTTTTGTACAGCTGTTTTAACTAATCTGCTTCTGATCATTAGCTGCCAGATGATCTCTTCATTACACACATTCAGGCTATGACAGATGCTAAAATGCTAACTGACACCTAAGTAAGTACTCAGCTTTTTTCTGCTTTCCTAATAATTCTGCTTTTTAATGTAAAACTGTGCAACCGCTGCAAGATTTAAAAAGGCCATCAAAACAGTCATTTAATTGACTACCAAATTAAAGCTCAGAAAAGACTATTGTTATGTCTGCTGTCATCATCATAATTAAATATGGAAAACGTCTATTCTGAACTTGTTTGAGCTCCTGCAAAACAGCTACTCTTCAAGGGTATTTTTGAATAATCTGTGTAATAAGAATTTGCACATGTAATGACAATGGCTACTAGAAGATCCTAGGCAGCTATTTAAGCAGAATGTGTGAGCTCTGAAAAATAAGCTTTTCACAGAAATGCAAAACTACCATATCAAAAATGTTGAAATCTTTTTAACATTTCAGTCATCAGGTATGTAACTGCACTTCTGTGAATGCAATTAGTTTCACATGTCAGTTGTACAGTTATTTGTCTGTATGTTTTAGGAGGAGGCCAAGTTACTTGTAGACAAAAAATGGTCTTTTCCTGAGTTTTTATTGTTATGTGTTCTCCCCCCCCCTTTTTTTTTTTTTTCTCCCCCCCCCCCCCCCAAATAAACCCACCACATATTGGCAAAAATGCTCAAGCAAGTTCTTTTTAAGCTAAAGCTGTTGGTGTAAGCGAGATTGCAGCACCCCTTCCCCTCTCTTTTCACCACAATGAATAGGGAACCTGTAGTGCAATGTCGAACACTCAGGTACCAGTCCCAAGGGGAAGCTTAGTACGCAGACTTGATCTCCTAGTGCTCTATATCCCATACCTGTGCAGTGTTGGCCATCTCATCTAAGTCGAGAGACTGCACTAGACACTCAGCTAAAGCTAACCCATATGAAATGCTGAGAAAATTTTAATCTAAAACCTCATTCCTCTGCATAACTTAAATGCTTGAATCAGTATTAAATAAAATGTTTCTTGGTCTATTTTGAGTACATTTATAAGAGTAAGCTAACCAGCGTCAGGTCAGTGCACTGGTCCTGAGCCCAAGTGGCACAGTGTGGCCATACATGTTATCGTATCCTATTAACTGCCAGAACAGGACAGCTATGTGCAAGCTGCTCAGGGACAATAGACTCCAGCCCCTGCTAACTTGTTGACTGATGACAAAATCACATCATATCTGAACATACAACTCTGCTCCAGTGCCTGGGACTGCTCTGACACAGTTTCACAGCTGGTACGGAGGCACCCTGCAGGCACCTGCCTGCTACATGTGCAGAGTGGTATAGTGCTCTTTGTGCTGTGAAAAACATAAGTGTTAATTCCTGTTTCTTGGCACGTGCTTTTACTCCTTTGCTAATATGCAGAATTGTGGTAACACAGTGGCCTTTGGTTCCCCGAGTGACATTTTCAGAATATGATCGTTTCCCAATATTTTCCCACTGAATGGGTGTTAGATGTGCTCTGAGCATGTCTGCTAGTGAAAGTCTCTTGGAGACACACATATCTTTTGGTATGGTTTCCACAACCCAAATATGTTTAGTCTTAAGCTAGTCATCTCCTCAGGCAATGAGAATTCCATATACAGACAGAATTAAAGCAGCAGATGTGTAGGAAGCCACAAATAGGATAAATCACACCTATTCTTAGTCATGGAAGCTAGCCTAACTTTGGTGGGACAAATGACCTTCAGGAGACGTATTTGGTCCTTCAGCTCCAGGGGAAGTTTGAGTTATTAACTTAGCCAAGTTACTTAACTTTTAGACACATGAGAACAGGTAAACTGAATTTTACTCTCCCAGCCTTCAATCTATCTATGCATTTAAAATACATAATTAAAACATATAAAATGTCCCTAAAAAACATAGGGCAAGCGCTTAAGTGGTTAGTTACATAGAATTCTAATTTTAAACAAACAGACACATTTTTGAGGAACTCAGCATAGCAAAGCAATTAAGGATGTGTCTAGATACTTTTAAATTGACATTACATGTTCTCTGCTAGATCATAGCCACAGTGATGCAAATATAATCATATATTCTTGTCTCTAGATGTGGGGGTTTGCAGGAAGTAACACAATTGAAATTCTCCTGAATTTGATTCACCAAATCACCAAACCAAACAGAACCTGACTAGAAGCAACGTAGAGACCAAACTCCTGCCCAATCCCTCCATCTCCAGTGTCTTCCATTGCTAACACATATATACTGTCAAAAAAAGAAGTTGATCACATTTATTGTATGCTTTTACAACTTAAAATCCTTTTAATATACCTTTAGTCAACCTTAATATGTGACTTTTCTTACATTTTTTAAATGGTCTTGAAAACTTACCCATATAAGGTTTTGTGCCAGCCATAGAAGAAGCTTTTTCTGAGCCTTTCACTATGGTTGCTATGTTAAAGTCAGTGATATGAACATGTCCTGCAATTAGACAAAGTAAAAACAGAAGTTAAAATAGCACATCATAAAAATATTCCTCCCTTTGTTTAACATATAAGCGATAATGGAAAGAAATTAAATTGGAAAGATTCATAACAATTCATGGAAACTTACTCTTAAATGTTACTCATAACTAGAAAAATCATATTGGCAGCAAAGTGATAGAATACTTTCCTTGTATGGTTGCACCCACTACCTGCTTGCAGTGGTGAACCTTTTTTTCTGGTCACCCCTGATCCTTCTCCTGCCATGAACGTTAAGGACAGTAACTGTCTGCTCAGGACAGTAACTGTCTTCTCGGAGCAGTAACACGCAGGAGCAGCATGTGAAGCTATGCATGAAATCTACCTCTCCTTATCTCCAGCTAGAGCCACCCCTCAATCCCAGGTACTTGTGTCACCTGTCTGCTATCATATCTACTTCAGGTTACCATCAGCCTGGCTTTTTCTGAGTCTCCTCAGGGCAAAAAGTGAGCTGAAAAGAAAAAGGGTATTTTTATCATACAATAACTATAAAATTAGATCCACAGGAGCAGAAGAGCATGTATGTAACAGCAGCAGGTCCCAAACAATCACTCATCTGATAGCAGGTTGCAAGATGAAAGATAAATGGCAGAAGTCAGCCTGGGGACTTGCTGCATGACCAGCCAGACAGCTGATTTAAACTGAACTAATCAGGCTGAATGGCCCAAACCTGGGGTAGTTTATGATAAGCATAGGTTAAATTGCTCCACCACAGTGAAGCAATAGCTGTTAATCCTGGCTTGCCATAGGCAGGTAAACTGAATATAAATCCAGCCTGAAAATCTGCAGACTTTTAATTTGATAAGTGTGCTGTTCAGTTTTGCATCTCTGCTTAAGGACTAGTTTTATATTGTAGAGTCATGCAGATATTATGCTTTCTGCAATTACATCTGGCAATGCCATTGTGGAGGACAGAGTACAGGGAAAGGTACTCCCTTCCCTGGCTTAGCCCTGCACTCAGATCAGGATTAATACATCAGGTGTTGAACTAGAGTCTTGAGTGACAGGTTCCTGTGATTTTTTTTTTGGATCAAGATCTCAACCTCATTCAGTCCACAGAATGGAGCAGGCTTTGGGCATGATGCAGTTATTAAGCAAGGGAAGTTGTTACCATGTTTGCTGCCAAAGATGAAGAGTGTAACAAATGACTAATGTTGAATGTTACTGTGGTGCCTGACAGATGAACAGCAGTCTCAACAAAAGATTATGCTGCTCCGACAGTCTAACCTAGATCCTGCTCAAAGTCCACAGGAAATGTATCTGCCAACCTCTAACAAGTCTGCAGCTACGCATGTGTGAACTGAAATTCTCAGAGGCCCCTAATTTGGCAAGATCTGAGCTGGTTTTGAAGGGAAAAAGGAAGAAGGCACATTGCACTACTAAACTTAAAGCTATTTCTCCAAATGGGAGACACAGTAGAAGTTTTCGATGAAATGGTTTGCAAGTTTTCTGCACTTTTCTCAGAAAAACTGCTTACATATTATTGACACTTTCTTTCTAAGACACGCACCCCAAAAAGACATCTGCACGCGGCAGACAAAAACTGTGAGCAGATAAAAGCGATCACTTTATAAGGGGCGGGAGGTGTTAGACCGCCATAACAAGAACTAATATTCACAGCCCAGCCTGCCATCAGATTTCAAGGTGGTATTCCTCCTTCCCGGTGGCTGGAGCATAGCATGTTTGCAGTTTATTTCTGCAATAATAAAACACCGTGGCAGAAGGCTTCTTGAAAATGATAATTGAACCACATACAGCCACCTCATAGCAGTAGTTTTAAGCAATTCGGTGTACATGGTAGAATGAAAAGCTGCAAGGATCTTGGCAGACTAATACTTTCTCTTTTTTTGACAGATAAACATAAAGTTCTGCCATTTAAATGACAGCATTGTAAATGATGCTCCCTATTAGAATGCCAGCATGGTAGCCTGTTGCAAAACACCTATCGCATAATATCCATTCAGACTGATCCAAACACTTGATTTGCAATGAAAATTGCCTCTCCTGCAGTGCATTGTTTTCTCTCCCTTTTATTAGATTTCTTTTCATTTAACAAAACCAAAATAACACACGTGAAATGTTGTATACACTGGTTGATGGTTTTTGTTAAAAATGCCTTTCTGCAAGGTAAGGGGTGCATTGGGAAGGTAGGTTCTGCATAGCTCCTCTGCATCCTGCTGCCAATACAGCAGCAATGGGCAGCTCCTCTACATGTAGCAGGATAGAACAGAGCCGCGTCTGTACTGCTGGAAAAACTCCATCTTTGCTCTTCCTCATCACAGGGCCACCCCATGGCCCATGGGCTGCCTGCAGGCAGCCTTTGCCTGTTGCTTAGAGAGCTGCTAATTGGCTATGGAGCGAAAGCAAGGTGTCCTGTAGGTAGGCGGATGGCTGTGCTGCCGCAGGGACTGCACACAGCACTTGGTGGGAGCTGGGGGCATGGAGCGAGGCCGTGTCTGGGATTGAGTCGGATCAGGGGGAGGTGGGGAGTGAACCCCCTGCACCTGTCGGCAGTGGAGGAGGGCTGGAGGGATGTCGAGGCAGAGTGTGCCTGTGCACACCACTGAATGGTTTCAACTCTTTTAAGCCTAGTGACTTGTTTTGTTTTGTTTTTTGATTTTAAATTTTTTCATTCATTTTTCATTCATTTTCTTTCAATTCATTTCAATTCTTTCATTCTGTTTTTCATTCTTGGTGTGAACATTTCAAGAGAGAGTTAGACCCCAGTTCTCTATAGGAGTCTTTCTAATCAGCCTGTAAGACATCTTTTTACTGCAGCTGTTGCATATAGGAAAAGGAAAGGTTGCTATTGCTGCAGTAAATATGCTGAGATAGTAGCTATCTCACACTGTTTCCAAAATTTCAATTCATAGTGTCTTTTTCCCATCTGAGCTTCACACCTTGTACTTGATCTCCCTTCCTGGGTATTATTGTGAACAACTAAATGTCAAAACCAAGTCTGTACGCTGGCTCCCTTCTCAGGTATCAGGCACAATATTGAACTAAGCACTATGTCAGTGACACTTGGGTTTAGCTTTTAAGAGCTGTGAAGCAGAGCAGTGCACCACAGATTTAGCAGTACCTAACTAAATTCAAGTATCACA